TCTTTTATGAAAAAATGAAAGTAGCAAAAAAAAAAAAAAGAAAAAAAAATATCATACAATCGAATGATATATAAATTTCCCATGAGGATCAATAAGTTACTCATAAAAGAGAGCTCTTTCGGTACACGTAAAATCCATTTGCCATTGAAAATCATCCGATCGAAATCTTGATGTGAATTGAAGCAGCTTTTTTAACTAGAAGATTGTGATTATCGATGGTGCGGAAACATTATACTATAATTTTGAATTGTCTGTTTGATCTAGGGATCTCATCAACGAATTCTTACAAGAAATTGAATTCGTGAATGTAATTTACGTTTTATGCAAGAATTCCTGATAGGGCAACAGGAAGATTTCAACCGGAAATTCTCTCAAGATAATGCGTGACGCCGTTGTTACAAATCGTAATGCATGATGCAGAAAGGCTGATTTGAATTTTGATTGAAATTTATATATAATTTTGACTTTTTAATGTAATTTGAATTATAAAAACATCGATTATGAAATTTTTTGCTTAAAATATATTAGAATCGAATATATATGGAAATTGTAAATTAATCTTTTTTTTAAAGATTTATTATAAAGCTAGATAATTTAATAATTTATATGTGAAATATTTATAAAATGATGAGTTTAATAAATTATTATTGACAATTTTAATTACTCTAGCATTTTAAATATTTTAAATATGACTAAAAAAAAAATTGAAATTAAAGAAATAATTTATCTTTTAATTTTTCTTATAAAAAAGAAGACTCGTTATCATTTCTTCCAAAAAGCTACTGGATTAATAAATTTGATAAACCTTAAAATTTAAATTTTAAAATTTACTAAAGCTTCAATTTAAAAAAACCGAATTTAAAAAAATAATATTGAAAATTTTAAATAGTTTTAATTCAAAAGTTAGAATGTAATAATATGCTTTGTGAAAGTTGATAATAATAAAATTTATTATAAATAATTTAAAATTTTAAATGATAATTTTAAATATTATATATATAATTTAAAATATAAATATCGAAAATAACAAATTAAATAGTAATTTCAAATAATAACTGAGCATTGAATATAGGTAAATCTTAATATTATGGAACATCATTAATATAATATTATTTTGTACTATTATTATTATAAAATTACTATTATTATTCTAAAATTTTACAAATTCAAAATTATAAATTATAAGAAAATTCTTATAAGAAAATTTACAAATTCATTAACTTATTTTAATTTTAATTTGATGTAAAATTTTAAAAAAGAATATAATTATAAATTTTATATGTAAAATAATTTACAAAATTTTAGAATTTGTAAATTTTGATATATTAAATTTTAAATAAATATTAATTGTAAGAATAATTTAATTTTCGTAACAATTATTGTAATTTTTAATAAACTCTAAATAATATCTTGCGAGTAAAATTCTATTAAAAAAATCTTTCTTGCAACATTTAAGGATGCATGGACCATTAACTTTAACTCTAAACACCAGAGGTTCTCGTGAAATTAAAATCTTGTAAAAAAGAGGAGTAAAAGAAAGAGAAATTATATTTCCCTTTTTACCTTAAACGTAATATATTCATCATAAGTTGACCTCGCTCTCATTTTTACACAGGCCAAACTCTGACTATGTGAATTGTACAATTTTTTCACAGTATATCCGTTTTCATTCAAATTACTTGGCTGCGTCATATCCGCTTTTATTAAAGTGAAATTATGCAGCGTGAGGATTCTTATGTAAAACACTAATATCGTTATCCTGTATGTAATTGTTTTTTTAAAGTATTTTGATGAAATTGGATAGAAAAATAATGGCAATGTTACAAAATTGATGTAAATTTTTTTCGATTTTTTTGTAAGCATGTCGCTGTATATTGAATTCGACTTATATGATAATATATAAACTTTTTATATTTTTATTTTTTACAAGCTATGAAGAATTTATAATTTATAAGATTTCACATTCATGTCTTTCGTTGCGATGAATATATATATAGTTTAATTAAATGAATATATAATATAATATATAGTTTAATTAAATGAAACTTATTATCAAACTTGTGAATGTTATTATAAAAATTCAGGTAATTATTTATATTTTCCTTATTTATATTCCTTTAATAATCTTAAAATATATTATTAGGAATATTGATTCCGAACAACTTTTATATATATATACAATATGATATATATGATATATTAGCAATTATAAATCTAAAAATTTATCAAAAAATTTATCAAGAATTTTTTGTAAATATTTAAAAAATTAATGCTAATCGACAATAATACATATATATATTTAATTTTTAAAATATTTATAAAAAATTCTTGATAAATTTTTAAATTTATAATTGCTAATATATTATATATTGTTTTTTATAAAAAATATATTAGTATTTGTTATTACATTTATTTGGATATTTGATATTCTTTCCAAATAAAATTTTGTTAATAATAATAATGATAAACGTATATATTGAAAAAAATGGTGAAAAAATAATAAAATCTTTAAAATATTACGAAATTGATGGATTTCTAAATGTATGTAATAGTTACGATAAGTTGATATAATTTTTAATCAAACGAAAAGTAATTCACGCCACAATGAATTATAAATTATAATAAATCAATGAAACATAACTTAATCTATAATCCATTTTAATTTTTTTCTTTTATTATTTAAATTGAAATATAAATTAATTTATATAAGTTAACTTATAACTCATTAATTTTTTTTTATTAGTTTAATCATAAGAATATCATTAATATTAAACAATAATAAATCAAGAAAATTTAATTTAAGTTCTATTAATTTTTTTCTTATTTAGATTAGGTTATAAAAATATAATTATTGTTAGATAATCGCTTATACTAGAATTCAAATTTTTTTTGATGAGATAAATTGAATTTTCGACTAAATTTATATTTTTCTTCATTTTTATATTGGCAATTATATTTGAACCTTGATTTATTTGACAATA